TTGACGACGATGGACTACACTTTTCCACATCAGTGAAGTACGTATGCGTTGTACTGAACTCTCATTTATCTTGGACTATTTATATAAATGAAACATTCACCAGTCCGAAGGTTGTCTTTCTACGCCTGTCGTTTGAGAACCTCCTCTGTCCATCGTGAGTTGATCCATCGATTTGTCATTGCCTGTGTTCTTCCCCACTGGCCTACTCCTCTCCGGTGCTTTTTCCCGGTCTTCTGAGTAAGCATTTTAATGCAATTGTCAACTCTTTACGGCACTCATCCCGATGTAGCGGTGTTTCGATGCCTATCTTTGTCAGCACACTTCTTTCTACATAGACCAATACTTGCAAGAAACTGGCATCTAAGATACTGGCTGATAATTGTTGTCCGCTTCACAACGGTTTATCTGAAGCCAATTTCGGCCAATTTCGTCTACTAGACAAAAGTACAAGCTAATTTATGCTCGCACACAAGCCTACTGCTCATCGATTATCCTTTATCTTCTGCGTTTGCTGCGAGACCCCAACTCGGTTGTTCTAGACCTAACTAGCCGATTCGCAGTGTGATGGCGTTTCTGTGCATTCTTTACCAAACCGATTTGTGGTACTTTACTGTAATTGTTTATATTCTGCTACATTTCTGAGATCGTATGTTATGGCTGAATATTCACCTGCCAAAGGTGTATAAAGCAGTTTTTAGCTTGACTTGATGATTTATGGAATAAAGAATAATAAGAGGGAGAGAAGAGGGATTTAGCTGAAAACCTTAATGCCCTAAGCAAACATTCACGATCAACCAGTCTGCACCTCTAAAAACATACCGTCACGGCAAAGATAAGGCGACATCGGCGAGATTGCTTCCTTGCGGCTTTCATTGCCCAGCATCATAATCAGCCATTACCCACCAGATAACTCCGCACCAAATACACTTTAAACTGGCAGTCCGATTAGTAGATGGCACCAGACGCGCCACTGGTGTCTACTGCGAGCCATATCTTGTAAAGTTTTATGTCAAGCACAAGGCGAGTCACGTGGACTCCAGGCCGGAAGGTAAGACAGACCGACGGCACCAAGTTCGGTCGTCTGTGACTTCATTTCTCGCTGCTTAGTCAACTTTTGTCCAACTCGAGCCTTGCGCCACCCTTTATCTGGCAGACTAAACAAGGTCCTCCTAGGTAAGCGGTGACCAAGGTTACATGGTACATGCCCAAGCCAAAGCAACTTATTCAGTGGTATCTGTTGTTCGTGGGAACTAGGTTGGTGATCACTGCCTAGTACTCGCCTACGCACATCCTTGTTGCGAACACGCTGGTGCCACCCGACATCAGCAATACTCCTCAGACAACGATGCTCAAGGACTTGAAGGCGCCTCAGGTCTTCAGACCGAAGGGGCCAAGTCTCACTCCCATAGGGCAAAACGGCCCCGTTGTGGCCTTGTAAACAGGTTCTTTCAGGTGGAGGGCAGCTCCATTCTGTCGCCAAAGATGTCGCAGGTTCAAGAAGACAGTTTTGGCTTTTGCAACGCGTTTCTATGATCCCGTCGTTGCTGATGCAGCTGCCAAGGTAAGTGAATCGATCAACTGCTTTAATTTCCTTGTTATGAAGGATCAAGGGGTCATCAATTGGCTGGTGATCCTGTAGACACTTTGCAATTTGAAGGTGCGAAGTGCACGCCAAATAATGAGACCCCTCTAGAGAGGCTATTCAGGGTTAATTGTGCCACCGCGATCTCATTAAACAACAAGACGATATCGTCCATTTCATCAGGATCAACTTGCTTTTAACCAGGCTACACTACAACGCCCGCACTATGAGGTTACGTGTCGGCCGGTGGCCGAGTGGTCTGCACGTTTGCTTTGCAACCATAAGGTCACCGGTTCGAATCCGCGTAGGGGTGGGCGTCCTCGCGGTGTACTTAACCCGCGCGCGACTGGTGGTGATCGCGTGACAGCGAAGCGCCGTTACGGCGTACAGCTGATACATTATTATTATTATCTTATTTATGAGGTTACGTAAGGGAACACTCCATTGTGCAGTCCACAACGAAGTTGAACAAAATTGAGGAAATTGGGCAGCCCTGATGAGCGCCACATTTTGTCTAGAAGGCATCCGACTAGTCACCGTAGATCATGACGCGGCCTGTCGTGTTCGACTATAGAACACGTAGGATGTTCACATAGTTCACGGGAACACCTTTCCGCACAAGTATTTCAAACAGAATGCATCAGTCGATTATCGAACGAACTCTTGAAGTCGAGGGACACAGCTGTTGTCGCCCTGCAGGACATATGTCGCTGCTGTAGCACCTGCCGTAGAGTGTATATATGGTCTATACAGCCCAGTCCTGAGCGGAAACCTGGCTGCTCTTTCCTAATCCGAGATTCCCGTTCAACAGTGAGGCGATGAACGAGAATCGAGGCCAGTAATTTTGTCACAACTGGCGTTAGGCTAATACCTCTGTGGTTAGAACACGCAGGTATATTGCCACTATAATCGATTCGCTCCAATCAGCCGGGGCACTCTCTTCATTTCAGATACTTTTGAATAGGGAGGTCAGTGCTTTGTATAGGACCTCATCTCCATCCTTAAATAGTGCAGGTGGGAGGGAATCCGGGCAAGCAGCACGAAAACGATTGAGGGCTGTGATGACGTTTCAGACCTCGGCCTCCGACAGAGGCTCTAAACTAACCGTCTATGGCTCGTTCTGCATCACCTGAGTAGGAAGAGGTCCGGGAGCGTGGGGCCAGCTGAACTGATCTTGAAAGCATGTCGCCCAACAAGCCATACGGCGCTCCTTATTGTGTATCAGCGCACCCTCGCTGTCTCTGATTGTCTCACTGACGCCTGGTTTTCTGGGACCATTGGTGCGGATTAGCTGGAAGAGCTTGCGGTAATTGCCTACTGCTCCTGCCTCCTCCATTTCTTGAGCCCGACTGGTCCACCAGGCTTCCTTGTCAGCACGTAGGCTATGCTTTAGTTCACGCATAATAGCCCGTCTGGTCACATTGTGTTCAGAGCCAGCCGGGAGGTGTCTTCTAGATTCCAACAGGTTCACCGACCTCTCGGATATCCAGTGACTGGTGCGGTGACTATTGACAGTGCCACAAGCAGATGCTCCTCGTTGTCCATGGCGGCTGAGATCCTATTCCACTGAAGCTCAGTGTCATTAGAATAAGACAGCGAAAGTTCGGTATACAGTGCGTCTTGATAGACTTGCCTGACCGGGAGCTGAGACAATTTCTCAGTTGCCAATGGTAGGGGACCCTTGGTGCGCTTCCCGGCAAAGTTCATAGAGAAAGGACAGCGCACCAAGGCGTGATCAGAGTCGACACAGGTACTCCAGTATGAGCGGCAATCCAGGATGGAACCATGCCACCTGTAACTTATGGCTATGTGGTCAATTTGGGTCCATCGCTGGCCAGCCACAGGAGGACACGAAGTAGCACTTCGGCGCCCACTGTGTCTAAAAGCAGTGCTACTAAGGAACAACTGGTGCTCCGCACACAGTTGCAGCAGACGCTCAACGTTGTCAGTCCGTTCGGAGTCAAGCCCATAATCAATACCTAACTGAGCACATAAATGGCTGTTCACCGGAATTCCATCAGCCAACGGTGGTTTAGCCTTGGCTCTTAGTATGATACCTACTCCAGCCTGACCCGTGAGTGCTGCATCGGTGTCTCCGGATGCGTGCAACCAAAAGTGAGAGGCCAAGCTGGGCGGAGTTAATTTAACAACACCATAAGGGTCATTGATCCAAGCTTTGGACACAACGTACATCAACACCCGTGTGTCCAAGCTAGGAGCGTGTGCAGCGTGTTGACCTATTTGTCTTAGAGTGCGAACGTTGAACGCCGCCAGGGAAACGGGATAGCGTGGCTTTATAAGGGACTGTTACCCATAGGTATCCGGTGGGTGTTGTGGGAAGGTAGCTGCAGATGAATCTACCCCACTGGCACTTCGGTTGCCGTTCCAGACTTTTACTCCTCTCCCTTTCGGAGTTCAATACAAATGTCTACCTTCCCTTGATTCCTTCTAGGTAACTTTCGTGTATGTCCTTTTATTTTCTACTCATCTACTGCTTTTGCTGAACACAACCCTTGGCTCTTGTTTGGATATTGTTATGGATGATAAGGACAAACCACCTAGGAGAGATCTCCTATTTTGGGTGCCGCATTCCCTTCTAATAGTCAAGTTTTAAAACATTTTAAAGAAGTGTTATGGTGCGAGTGGTCAGTAGTCATGAGCTAATTGATTCCGAGACACATACAAAGCAACCAATCAGATGCGAACCGAACGGATTCTGTTATTGGATGCGCTGGCGCTTGTTACTCATCTATAGTGATCCGCGGATTGATTAAAAAGTTCGGTGCTACCATGATGAATTCCCTAAGCTTTTCGGCGGGTTTTGTCTGTAATAATTGAGGAACCAACTACAATTTTCAACCTGGTTAATTTCGCTTCCATCAGTTTGAGTGCAAAATGTTCACTAAATTGTAACAAAACGAACACACTCAAATAATGTGTAGGCCTGTAGGGAAAAATAATCTGGTCGCGAAACGCCATAACCAATCGCCGCCATCGATGCACAGACTAGCTGTGGGTGGCTATTCGATTCAACAGGAACGCAGGGAAAGGTTAGCTCGTTTCGAAGTCGAAGACAGCTTAAATATGTGCCGAAATATTCAAGCAATCGCATGCACGAAAGCTCTAGCAACCTTAGACTCCCTGGGCACATCGCCTAACTAAATATTTTTGAATGACTCCCATCACGCTTCATGTGAGCGTACAAATCGACAGGCCGCTACATTTATGCTCACTCCTGTTCCGTAGATACGGTTTACAACTTGCAAGGTCGGTCAAACGTCGGGCACTATTTTCGTTTCTATCATGCTACTCGCTTCTGTTAATAGTGTATGTTAACAGCTAACACACGCAAGCGAATCATTTTCCACATGGGTTGTTTACTGTTCATTCATTCATATTCCCCTACCCATATTCACAGCCGGACAAAATCATCCGACTGAATTGCTCCAGTGGAAAGAAGTCGATTCGCGAGCACATTGCAGGCTACGTTCGCCGCCTGCGTGTTAGTTGGAAGCTGAGTGGGGCGTTATCCCCGTTACCATCGGTTTGGACGACCCCATCATCGCCGGGAGATAAGAAGCAGTCGAAAAATTCAACCTGGGATCTGTTAACCTACCGCAGACCACTTCATCCGGGTTTTGGATTCGGTCTGCGCTTCACTTCCCGTATGTTGTTTGAGGGAAACCTTGGCAGTGACAGAAGTAAGTACTTCTTGTAGTATGTTTCTCTTATACGATTGTTTACATCGTTGATATTTGTGCTCTCAGCGACCTGTAGCCGGAGAACAAACAGTTCATTTGATGCACGAAGCATTACCTCGAATAACGGCAACCGGGGGGTGGCCCATCCAGTTAACAAATAAAACTTTTCTAGCACTATCATGTGGAGTAGAATATGGAAACGGACAAGATTGGCAGAGGGAAATGACCTACAATCATAACAAATAAGTGGGAATCAAGAGTGAGACAAATTCCGAACCAGGATAATGCACATGCGTAAGTGGGAGATGCTATATAAAGTTATGGAGTCGGAGTTGAAAGGTAACTTAACGAGTGAGCTTGTTTTCGATAGCTCTCATCAAGCATGTACACCACAACTAGTAGCTAGGTACAAAAGTAACACAGATTACTTAAATGCGGTGAGTCAACAAAACGAATTGTCTAAATAGCTTGGTCCTATGATTGCTCCGCTTGGTGTAAGGTTACGAAAATGGTCCGATCATTGGTGTTATACGGATTGTGGCGCACCAGCAGCTGATGAGCTTGGGCGAGTTTATTCGGCGCGCACAGGTCAGAATTATGGAGCCGGATAGCAATCGCTTCTACCGTCGATTGTAGGCGACATCTGGGTATTCGCATGTGGCGTCCACATTTCCTCCTGTAGATGAGTTGATCCACCTCTTGTACGTTGATTCAAAGACTCGAGTCGATCAGGTGCGATAACACCTCGCTCGTCACTGACTTATTCACGCCACACGATAGATCGACGTTGGGCAATATTCCCGGACTCTTTCGGACAGTCGCGTGGTCGTTTTACTAAACTATACTTCCATCGACACGAACATTGTTTTTGTTCTTGCGATTCAGCTCAGAGAGGAATTCGAGGTATTTGTCATCCTGTGCTGGATATACTATTGCCTGGTATGCGAATACAACTACAATGGATGCCCCGTAGACTGTACATTCTTCTTGTGTTATTATTGTTGGCTAGGTGGTAGGTTTTACTTAACCCATCGCGAACCGGATTGGAACACAAGCGACGGACCCTGTCTATGCGTCTGACTTTGTGAGAAATGGCATAATAATCAACTCTTCCTTCGCTGTTGTTGTTGTTGTTTTTGCCTCTGCTGCTGCTGATGCAATTGTGGTCGTCTCTATTGGTCGCTTGGTTGATTTGTTTTCTGCGTTCTACTGCTCACTTAAGCGATGAGCAGCAAAACAAAGTCGCACATGAGACGGTAAAAAAGGGAATACAACTCTGTGTTTTTGATTGTGACTGTTTTTGCCCGATTGCCAGCTGAGTCGTGACTGTATCACGTAGACCTTTTGTGTGTGCTAAACGCATGTTGTGAGTCTTCAGTGGCCCTCTGTTGACGATCTACTCCACCATTGTTTTAGCTAGTGATGTTATCTTTGTATCCTTGAATCTTGTGAGAGAAAAATATACTTCGGTACAATCTCTGTATTCCCACCACCCGCAGCCTGCAGCTCGTTTTTCCTCGTAAGAGTTAAGTCGGTGTAAATTCAGTCGAAAATGCACTAACCACATGATTACGTTTTGTCAACTGCTGAAACCACGTCACAACTACAATTGACCTTTCATGCTCATCGTGAATATTTTTGCCTTGGTTTATTCTTAAAATGTTGGCTAGTAATTTTCCCTTCAGTTTCCGAATTAGTCTGGAGTTTTACAGACAGTTTTGTTCTGAATTCAGTGCGACAATTGAGTTGTACCAGGACTGTTCTATTTCATAGAGTGGAGAGTTTCAGCGGCTCCCAACACTGCACTCCAAGACCGATTTCTTGGATTCTTCAGGTAGAGATAGCCAAACTTGGGAATGGTTTCCGAGATATAGTGGTTGACGGTTGATGTCTTAACCATTGGGGCCGTTGAGACCCCTTTATTGACGCTTGGTACAGCGGTTTGCGATGCAATGTTAGTTATGGGATTACCAACCGTGTGTTTTCATCCTGTCATTATCAATTTCTGTCGGTTTTTGTCGAAGGAAATCTTCGTGCATACTACGAGTATCTAATGGCATTAATCCCATTATCAGGTGGCCTTTGTGGCAGTCCAAGTTGGCTTCGATTCAGGTATTGTTGTGCATCGACATCAAAGATGTTAGCAGTGCATCATTCGTTTACTATTTCTTTTACTGTTTTCTTTCAACCTCTGTTATCAGTCTATTTAAGATTCCTTACATCTTTCACGTATGCTGCTTGTGAGCCATGTGTGGAGCAGCTTCTTCTCAACATCGTTTTGAGCTTGTTCGTCGTTCACTTCAATCAGTCCTGTAGCACTGAGCCTGTGACACTTGTTTATTTAGCGACTGCCTTGATTATGTTGTTGATCTGAGTCTACCATTGGGCATTATGGACTGAGTTTTGGGCCACTTGACACTCATACGAACTCATTGATGAGTCTAATTTGTTGTCCTTTCATCCACAAACGGTATTCGTCAACACCGTTAGCTCAGGATCATGCCCGGTTACGCCTGGACCCTGTACTGACGGCTCCCTGCCGCTAACCACCATCGGTTGCACGCTGGCTGTGCAATTGCGCATCTACGCAAGCTCGAACTGGGTGCCCGTGTATGCTAGGCCAACCGCCTGACCATTCTACCAGTGGCCAAATCTCCAATCTATACACACATTATCATTTGGTCATGGTAGTGCCGCTTGCTATCATCGACGCGTTTCTGCATTTTCAGCGAGTCCGGATAAGTATCATGACTCTCTGTTTTTCTACTACCTAGAGTTGTTTCCTACTGCCGGGGAAGTTCGACGAGTCGATAGTCTAAAGAACCATTTTGTACTCTTTTCAAATTAGTAACTTGCAAAATGACAGGGGGTGCGCATTGTCTTAGTTTAGTTAGTTTCCTAATTACGTCAGCCGATGGTACCCACGGTAACGCAAACGATTATACGAGCTGGCCGTAATTTATGACCCTGCATCGTGTCAAGAAGATGCCGCACTATTGACAAGTCCGAATGAAATGAAGCGCGTCCAAATATTGTTCAGATTTCCGTGGATCTGCGATTGGATCTGGCTGCGCCTGAGTCCGTTTGTGTCTCATTTGTGTCTCAACCTGAATTGCACCCCCCATCACAAGCACATTTGATCCATAACAATGAGCGATGATCTGTCACGGGTAAAAAGGCTGGTGCTTGACAAGTTACACAGGATTGTTGCATCATCGTCATCATTATCACTATACACGTTAGCTGCAGGTGGAAAACACTTCAGATATTGTGCCGAAATACAAAAGTCAAGAACAGGAAAACAAACAGTGGCACGCCGACTGAGTCCCCAGTAACACATTGACATCGTTCCGAAGAGCTAACAGCTGGCTATCGTGCCGTAAAAAGAGTCATATTATGCCTAACAAGTGAGATCTTGATTGGAGGGGTATGCTAAGCAGGAGGGGGATGGACAAAGGAACTCACAACGCAAACGCCATTGGGGCCGGCTCCAAGCCATATCAGCAAGTATGTCCAACCAAACGTGTTCACCGTCCTTAGGACCCCAGCCAGGCAGTCGGGATGCACCAACTGACGCCAACTTCGAAGTGAGGGTTTTCATCTATCTCGACCAAGTCATCGCTTAGCCTCCCCTCCTCCTCTTCCAACCGCACCCTCGGCGCGCAAACAATGCACGTCGCGGAAGTCGGTGTGCTGGCATGCGCAACACGTGGCCTAACCATCGGAGCCTGGTACGTGATATAACGGTGTTGAGCTGTTCACTCGCTCTTCCTGCACCCATATACTCGACGCCGAACACGCTCACTACTCACTCGGTGCTCTCACTGGACATGAGCTAAGCTGCGAAGGCAGCGATGATCGGATATGAGGAGCCTCTTTATGTCTGTCGACCTGTTAGGCCAGGTTACTCAACCATATAGGAGAGTTGAACGGACGGCTGCGTTATAAACTCTGCCATTCTGGGCAAGAGAAATACCGTGTCTGCGCCACAGGTGGCGGAGATTAGCAAAAGCACCTCGAGTTTATGCTATACGGTTCGTAACCTCATCTTCAATCCCACGGGTGCTAATATAGTTGCCCAGGTACTTGAATTCCTTGACGAATTCTAGCAGATCACCACAAATGGTTAGCGTAGGGTTGGGTCCCTGCCAATCTTGGAGAAGTACTTTACATTTCGATGGAGCAAAGCATAGCCCGAATCGATTGACAGCCAGTGCTAATCGGTCCAGTGCTATTTGGCATGTTTGAGAGCTGTCACACAGGATTGTTGCAGTTGAAACAACAAAAAGTCGAGGATAAACGAATCATCAGTTTTAGCGTCTACCGTTGTAACTGTACTGCCGCATAACGATACTTTGAAATGGCAATTGAAAGTGCGCACACCATATAATATGGGGAGCAGTTATAGTTCTCGTTCTCCATGGGAAAAACAGTCGAACATACTACTACTAGCGATGACCCGATGCACATTGCTCGCTTCTTGATCATTCCACCAGCTTCAATGCACTCGAAGAACTAGTGCAGGGTACCAAAATCTTTGATGAGACACCAATTCGTCGATCAGTTTTGCATTCCACCTGGATTGATGTCTTATCAGATTGACTATGTTCGCATTGGCAAGGTAGCATACACTACGCACCTGTGCTCGTCAGGGTGTCATCTGGCGAAGCTGACTATACACTGCAGAGTTGTATTTGCAGGATATTCTTGCATACTAGTTAATGTGCGAGCGACATACGCTTTATAACCATGAAGATTGAATGGTTTCCATAAACGGACACTAATAGGCTAGCTGCATTTGGGCTTCGAATAGGTGTACCTTTGGCTCTTGATTTGCCCCAAAATTGCATACACAGATAATTCATCGGAATGTGTGGCGCATGCCACCACTCCAAGTAAGTGATCATTCCTGCACCGGTGCTTTCGTATAGCTTGTACATACTCTCGCGCTTAATCTGTGGAAGATGGCGCAGGTTAGCCAACTGCGAGAGGTATTCTCC